TTCACTTTCTAGAAACCCTATAAATGAGAGACCTTCAATCCACCCTGCTATCAACCGCTCAGGACATACAGAGAACGTATTAATCATATCTGTGAATAATCAAATCCATGAAGGTTAAACTTATATATATGGAGGGCCAACTGTATGTCCAGAGACTTTTATCCCATCTGTAGATGCTCTTAAGTTGCTGAAATTTAGTTTAAAATTAAAATAGTAAATTTTAAGGAAAATTTGTGTGGTGCCCTTCTTCTCTTGATGCCCTAAACACATCCTTTTTTTTAATCCAGCCCTGGCTATATATAAGTACTAAGTAATAATAATAATAATAATAATAATAATAATAATAATAATAATAACAACCCTTTATTCATATTACACCCTTCTCCCCTAGGGGACTGAGCAGATTACAGCATTTTATATACATAGGCAAACATTCAATGCCTTTTACAATCATATACAATGAGACACACAAACACAAAAAAAAGGCAGAGGCTTCTCCTTTCATTTCCGGCTTCTGGAGGTGGTGTTCGTCTCTGGCTCTGGGGAGGTGCTATCTTCCATTTTCAAGCCAAGGAGCCTGCATTGTCACCTATTTTGCCTTTTCCCACCAAAGCGGTACCTATTTATCTACTCAGATTTGCATGTTTTTGAACTGCTAGGTTGGCAGGAACTGGAGCTGACAGACAGGAGCTCACCCCTTCTCACAGATTAGCAAGAACCACATGATGGTAAGAGCTGATTGACACTGAAATACTCTGCCTGGGAGTGTGATGGAGTATCCTTCTCTGGATATTTTTAAGCAGGATGGCCATTTGTTGGGAGCACTTTGATTGTGTGTCCCTGCATGGCAGGAGTTGGACCAGACGACCCCTTTTTTCTGAATAGTCCCAGGATTACTTTTCCCTATTGGCTGTCTACCTTTTAAAAAAAGATTAAAAGGAAAACGGATCATCTTTCTGTCTGGGAATCAGAGACAAAAAAACGGGAGGAAAGTGAACACACAGCTGTGAGCTGTCAGATGAGATACCACTATCTTGGCAAATTATCTTTAGGGATCTGCTTTGAGAAAGTTAACACTATTTACATCACTTACCTTTCCCTGTAGTTAACTTGAATATTTGTCAACCAAACATTACCCGAACAACATAAAGATCCAGGAATCTTCCTTGTCAATCATCATCATCATCATCTTTATTTATACCTCACCATCATCTCCCCAAAGGGGACTCGGGGTGGCTAACCTGAGGCCAAGTCCAGAATTACAGTACAACAAAATAAAATAAAATACAAACAGCAAATAATAATATCAAAATAAAATACATAAAATAACAGAAAATGAAATGTAGCAGGGTAGCGCCAACGTGGAATTTCTCTTCCAATATTTCATTAACATACTGAAAACCATCTTGCAAATTATTTTTCCAGAAAATGTTTCTTTAACTTTCGGAAGGCGGGGAAGGAGATAAGGTTGCCACTTGGAGATCAAAGGACTCATAGAGTATACGGCTGGAAGAATAGAAAGCTAAGCAAGAATAGTTTTATTTTGTCGGCATTCACTTCCTCTGTGTTACTTCTGCAGAGCAGCAAATAATGATTTAGAGGACATGATGCAAGTCAGCCAACCAGCACAAATCTCTGTGGATTTTTCCCCCGCTCATGTGTATATGATCCCCAGAGTAGTCCAATCTTGAACTTTTGTTATGTTAATTTGGTCGTTATGGAAAGAATTCCATAGCTGTTGCTCAGACTCACAATCTGTATAATAATAAGCGATTGTGGACAAATTGCATTAAAAGAGATGCTGAGTAAGTATTTTGGAATTTTTGATGGCAAAGAGTTGGTTGAGGATAAAATATGTTTACTTCTGCATATTTTTTTATTGGGGTTTTAAAAATTTATTGTATGGTCGTCGTAGAGAAGCTTTAGCTGTAGATTCCTGCAGGATGTTGGAGATCTCTGGCGGCATTGTGCTTTCGATATTGCTTCAAGTTACAGAACCCCTATGGCAAACCTATCATGGGGTTTTCTTGGGAAGATTGGTCCTGATGAGGTTTGGCCTTGTCCTCCTGAGACTGAGAGAATGTAACTCACTCAAGGTCACTCAGTGGGCTTCCAATGCTGAGCAGGGATTTAAACGTTTTCACTTGAGTCCTCATCCAACACTCAAAGTATTGGGCCAGGATGGCATTTGTTGTTGTTGATGATGATTTGTTCAGTTGTTTCCAACTCTTTGTGACCTCGTGGAGCAGCCCATGCCAGAGCTTCCTGTCAGCCATTGCCACCTCAGCTCCTTCAAACTCAAACCAGTCACTTCAAGGATAACATCCATCCATCTTGCCTTTGGTCGGTCCCTCTTCCTTTTTTCCTTCCATTTTCTCCATCATCATCTTCTCCAAGCTTTCCTGTCTTCTCACTATATGGCCAAAGCACTTCATCTTTGCCTCTAATATCCTTCCCTCCAGTGAGCAGTCAGCCTTTATTTCCTGAAGGACGGACTGGTTTGATCTTCCCATGGTCCAAGGCACTCTCAGAATTTTCCTCCAACACCACTGTTCAGTTGTACTGATCAATTTTATTTTCATGGCAAGAATACTGGGGTGGGTTGCCATTAACTTCCCCAGGAATCGTATTTAGCTATTACCTTCCTGTCTAGGGTGTCCCTTCACGGTTTTGCTCGTGGCGTCATTGAGCTCCAGCATCGCAACAAGGTAATGATCCTTTGCAGGCTGGCATAACCTCCAATATTTCACAGATGAAATTCGGAGATGTGTGGTAAGTAGCATCAGAAAGTGGTTAAGAAGGCAAAAGTTATTAATGGAGAACATACAAACCAGGAGAGGCTGCAGCAGTTTTCTTTTGCCTAAATTTGCAGGAAAGGGAAAGAATTCACATCACCTTTCCTGCTTAGTTGAGTGTAAATTACGTTTGCCATTTGAATTCAGTTTGCAGCAACTGAGGACAAAGGGAGAAAATGGGAGGAGAGAGAATCCAGGACCTTTTACAAGTGGCTGAAAAAGTGGGACTCAGAGCAGATCACAGAACACATATACAGCAAAAATTCAAAGCCAATTATACAATGACAAGACAGACAACAGACTGAGGTATATATAGGCTTTTTCCTACCTTTCGGCATCTTTGGAGGCTGTGCTTGGTTCTGGCCATGGGGGGTGCTGTCGCTCCATCACTTTGCTAAAGAGCTTTCTTTGATCATAAACTTCCTCCTTTTTCTGATTGAAATGCCAGGCCTAAAATACCTCCCCACTTTAATGCAATTCCTATTTATCTACTCACATTTGTTTTCGAACTGCTAATGTCACAATGCCAGTGCTCTGACAGTACACAGGCAGAGATTAACCAAAACAACACTCAGCTTGTGTTAAACTGTTTAATTAAAGCAGCACTTACTTTCTGGCTATTTTAGTAGTCCAAAATATAATAAAGATAGCACTCAGCTACAGAGTAATTAAACAAAGACTTCTAGCAAATGCTGATTGATGCAGGTTCAAAAGAACACCGTAGTCAAAGGGTCCAATCCAGTGGTCCAACGCCAAGAGTTCAATGAGTGAAGTCCAAGGTTCAAGAGTTATACCGTAGTCAAAAGCCAGTCCAGAGATTTAAAGATCCAGGGTTACAAGAATTCAGGAGACAGGTCAGGATACCGAAAATCCACAAACCTGGGGGGAAATCAGCAGCATCTACCACCAAAATAAGACAAATACTTTTATCCCAACATCAATCTCAGGGCTTATAACCAGTAAAACCCAGCTGCAACCTATCTCTTGCATGCCTCCAGCCTTAACTGCTTTCACCTGTAAACTCTTACTTACAGATTACTCAACCCTTTAAAACTAAGACTTACATTAACCCCTTCCATCACCAACTGCTAGGCCTGCCACCACCACCCACCATCACCTGTGGAACATGATACATGACAGCTAGGTTGGCAGAAGCTGGACTAAAAGTCAGGTATTTACTCTGACCCGGGTTTCCAACTGTCAACCTTCCGGTAGGCAAGATTTATTGCAGCTTGATTATTAACCTGCTGTGCTAAAGCCTGGCCCTTTGACAGAGGTTTAATTAGGAAAGTTGGAGGGTATGTAGTGATGTCTTCTAACTACATTTTTTATCATTTTAAAGCTATAAAATATAAATTGCTGCTGAATGGCAGCTGTCCTGTACCACTGGGAAGCCATCCCAAGTTATATTTTGATGAGTATTGTGAAGAAACAAAAGAATTGATGTTTTACAAATTTTATTGAGACAAAAGCTGCACAGGATACAGATCTGGATAAACTATATCAAAATGTCCCAAATGTAATCTACTTAAATACATTCACATACTGCGTATAAACATAATTCCATTCTATTTTATGCTTCCGAACATGAAGAACACCCACCAGTGTAGTTTACAAATGGTAATTTCTTTTGCCCCTTTAAATACATATCATTGTTTTCATCTCTGCGTCATTCATTAGTTCCAGCTGTCTTCATCTGAGCATCTCTTCTCATTTATACAACATTTAAAACCAACTGCATCAATAGTTTAGGGTTTTTTTTTATAAAAAAAAGCCAACAGTCTTTGGCAAGTATTCCCTGGAACTCTATTTTGTAAATGCAAACTGCTCCAAGTTTGACATGCGAGCCTTCTGGAAAATTTTCTTATTTGCATTTTTAACCCCACTGAACACCAAACACAAAATTCCAGGACGCTATCAAGAATGCTAAAGTTGTGCCATTGACATATAGGTATTGCACCTCTGAAAGACTGCTTTGAATCAGCTGTTAAGAAGTAATAAGTTCCTACATGGCAGGAAAACGAGAAAAAATACTGTATATATTAATGTGTAAGTCAACATCACAGATAAGTCGAGAGCAGGCTGTATGGATTTTGATATGATTGGTGTTTAAGTTGAGCATAATTTTGTGAAGAGGGGAAATAACCAGAACTACCTCAGATGGTTGCCACTGCCATTTTCCTGTCCTAACTATATATATATATTTAGGGGGGAAAAAACAGTATTGGCACCTTACCAGAGGAAATAGAGGGGTTCAGGGCTTCTTTTAGGTTCTCCTGGGATAGACTAAGCTCTCATCTTTTGACATTCTACACAGAAAATCATAGAGTTGGAAGAGACCTCATGGGCCATCCAGTTCAACCCCCTGCCAAGAAGCAGGAAAATCACATTCAAAGCACCCCTCACAGATGGTCATCCAGCCTCTGCTTAAAAGCCTCCAAAGAAGGAGCCTCCACCACACGCTGGGGCAGAGAGTTCCACTTCTGAACAGATCTCATAGTTAGGAAGTTATTCCTCATGTTCAGGTGGAATCCCATTTTCTGTAGTTTGAAGCCATTGTTCCACATCCTAGTCTCCAGGGCAGCAGAAAACAAGCTTGCTCCCTCCTCCCTATGACTTTCCCTCACACGGTTTCTTTTTGGAAAGGCGTTAGAGTACAATGTTTACATTGATCCCTGGATAAGTAAATTTTTTGACAATAAGTTCTGGATTTATACATGAGTACATACAGTACGCATACTTATATTAAATACTTTGAGACACTGTGTTGTGTCAACTTAAGTCATATCTGTTAGCATTTTTTAATGTTCTGAACATAAATTAAAGGGGGTACTATACATGCAGGTGAGGCACAAGGAAGAAAGCTTTCATTAGCTAGCTGAGTATTGGGATGGCTAGTTGAGAGGCTAGTAATCCTCTCTTGGCACTTTGACAAGGCGAACATGAATGTTTTGATGTCTACCGTGTCAATTTATCAAAGGGAATGAATCAGAACCCAAGGCTTGCTAATGGCATACATTTGGGACACAATCATCTATCTCCACTTTAGAGTGGAGATGCTGGACATTCAGCTTTTCAGGGAGTTTCTTTCTTCCTCCTCCTTTTCTTCTTTCTCTTTGCATATAAAAGGCACTTGTGGACTGAACAAACATGGCTTTCGACAGCAAATCTCCTGTCTTGCCATCAGCTTTGTATGGGCCAAAGACTACTGTCAGCCAAGCATTAGTCCAAGACAGATGCTTCAGCGTATTGGCACCGATTCTGCACGGAGGCCTCCAAGAGTGAATCATGGGACAGAGAACATATGATCCGTGCAGATTCCACAGTGGCGTATTCTCCCCGCAGATGGACACAGAAGGGCCAGAACTCCCCAAAGGAAAGGAAATTAAAACTGGTATTGTATTGTCGAAGGCTTTCATGGCCAGAATCACTGCGTTGCTATATGGCCATGTTCTAGAGGCATTCTCTCCTGATGTTTCGCCTGCATCTATGGTAAGCATCCTCAGAGGTAGTCACTACCTCTGAGGATGCTTGCCATAGATGCAAATCTCCTGCCTTGCCATCAGCATTGTATGGGCCAAAGACTACTGTCAGCCAAGCATTAGTCCAAGACAGATGCTTCAGCGTATTGGCACCGATTCTGCACAGAGGCCTCCAAGAGTGAATCATGGGACAGAGAACATATGATCTGAGAAGATTCCACAGTGGCGTATTCCACATAATCACTACCTCAGTTTCCACATAGTCACTATCTCTGAGGATGCTTGCCATAGATGCAGGCGAAACGTCAGGAGCGAATGACTCTAGAACATGGCCATATAGCCCGAAAAAACCTACAACAACCCAAAACTGGTATTACCTATACCAGACATTAGGGGAGGGAGATTACATATAGGAAATTCAGGATTCAACTAGATAGAATGGCAGCAGAACTGTGCGTCTGAACATTAATCTGCTGCAGAAACAAGTGGAAAATAGGAAGAGATCACATTTAAATATCAAGATAAACATGTAGACCAGAAGTGTAGGTCTGTACTTTTGATCTCTGGAGAACAAGTGCTCATTCTCAGGTCTGAGGAAATAAGTGTCTCTAAAGGAAAGATTTTGGCTCATGTACTGCAAAACACTCCCCACCTCATACTATACGTGAGTGCAGCAGATCCATGAAAACACACAGATCTGCTTCCATTGTGCAGTCTTCTACGAGACAGAAAACCATGGCAATATACATTTTTAACATCAACATGCATAATACACTACTATTTACAATCTCATCAGAAAACGTATGGCGTAGGAAACTGCAAAGTTGAAAGTGGAGACATATTATTTACTATGCACATATTGGTACAATATATTTACATATATTAGTGCCAATGCTGTAGCTGCATAGGCCCCTTATAGTAAACACTGTGATGCAATCATGATTGAAGTTTTATATACAACTGAAATCCGGTGCATCTAAAATCCACTTCTCATTGAGAAGAAGTGTAGCAAAAGAAGCCATTCTGTCCCTGCCAGAATTGTGAGCAGAACGGGCATATACAGTTAAATACAGATTGTCCTGCTACACAGAGCTTCCCCGCTTCTCGTTTTAATATATATTTATTTAAAAATGATGGATATGTAGGAGAAGGAAGCTTAGAACCCAAGGAGGCAGAAGAGGATCAAATGGATTAGGGTGCAAACAAGCCTTTAGTGTCGTAAGAAAGATGGGATGCTATCACTGAAGTCATAAAAGCAAAGCAATATGACTTGTGGTGTTGCAACATTTGCATGGATAATAAAGGAGAAAATTTCCTGGATGTCTAAAACTCCCACTTCTTCGTTGTTTGAAGAGTACAAAAACCTTGCGTGCCAAAATATGTATTCTTTGCCGTGATTTTTCTGATAATCTCCAGGAAATCCTTCTGTACAAAACACATGGATTTGAACTGTACAATGGTATCAATTCACTGGAATTTCTGCACAAGCTGAATTACTATGAAATATCACTCAGTACACATAGAACAGCAAGAAAAGATCTCAGCACTCAAGGTTTCTGGATTCTTAACAAAATAGGAAAAAAACAGCAAAATAATCAGATTCACATATAGAACCTACTAACATATAGACCTGATTTTCATTGCATAATCCCATCCCACCGGAGTCCCCTTGTGACGGAAGGACTGCTGATGGAAAGGTCAGCGGTTCGAATTTGGGGAGTGAGGTGAGCTCCCATCTGTCAGCTCTAACTTCTCATGTGGTGACATGAGAGAAGCCTTCCACAAGGATGGTAAAACATCAAACATCCGGGCATCTCCTGGGCAACAAGCTTGCAGACGGCCAATTCTCTCACACCAGAAGCAACTTGCAGTTTCTCAAATTGCTCCTAACACACACAATAATAATAATAATAATAATAATAATAATAATAATAATCCCATCCAGACCCACTGTATCAAGTTGTGAGTCAAGGCATAGGTAAAATTCCACTAATTCAAATAATCTACTCTATCTAGGACTAATAACAAGATTTAGGATTTAAAGTTCATTTCATTTCAACAAGGTTAAAATATTAGGTTGGACAGACATTTTACAACGCTTCAAAGTAATCCTATTGAAATCCGCACAACTTATAGTAAGTTTGATTATGGCTCCATTAGATCTTCCTTATTTCAGTAGTTTATCTCCAAGTATGGATTTAACCCATGGAGTCTTTCCATTATCATCCATTGCAAATCTACAAACTACCAAAATTTCTTTCTCTTAGAAACTGGATGAAAGAACAGTAACATATGTTATTATTTAAAATGAAAATCTGCAGAAATATCTCCATTGTAATCAACACATCTGAAGTACAAATATAGAATTGCTCTGTCAAGTTAGGAATAAATAGAAAAATACAGCATTTTGCAGACCTGTAGTTCTGCAGTTGACCGAGATGGGAGAGAAGTATGCTTAAAAAACAGATGTGGCATTAATGAATATGGCTTTGTTATACTAAGCAAAAAATGTAATATCTCATCTCAACAGAGGCTATTTTTTAGATTTGTATCACAGTGATGAAGGGCTACATCCGAAGACATACTCCTTTTCAGATACTTGAAAAAATTGCAGGCACATTCAATCTCATTCTTTGCATCCTGCTACGGAGGCAGTTAACGCCATTACACTTCATATGAGGGTCATCTGCCTTCATGGGAAAGGAAAATGCTGGAAGGAAGAGTAGCTAAAGATTTGGGAATTTGTGTAGCACAACCCATAGGGAGGTCTTGAGTCTCATAAAACCAAAAAAAAGTATAAAAAGTGCATCTATATTTTTTTCATATATCTTGTCAACCTGGGTGGTTAGCAATACTGACATAAGTCATATAACAGACTAAGAAGAGGTAATAGAGAAGATGTCACAGTTGGTGTTGAACATCTGTGACAGTGTTTTGCTCTCTGGTCCCATTTTCAAAGACAGAGATAAAAAGTTATTTTGCTTCTAAAGAGTGCTCTTCACTAGAAGGAATGGTATGGGGATAATGGGAAATAAAGGAATGAAGAGAACTTTAGCTTGGACCTTAGGAAGTTCTCAGGAATCCATTGAGCTGATCCCATCTCCAAGTTGATGGAGAAGACATATTTAGTGCTGGTAATCTATGATACCGAGTTGTATTTTGCTCTCTGATCCAATTTGGAAAAACACACACAGAAAGTTTTCATGGTTCAAAATAATGTTCTTCACTAGAGGGAATGGTGAGGAGATATTGGGAAACAAAGGAAAGAAGAAAAAAGTATCTTGGATTTTGGGCAGGAATTCATTTAGGTTTCCAGGAATCCACTGAACTGGCTCCCACCTCTAACATCCACATTTGGAATCTGTTGTCTTTGGTTCTCAAATATATCCAAATATACTAACAAACTCAAGAGAGTCTTTGTTGTCCAAACATTAATTGGCACCCACGGTCAACCGTGAAGCATTGAAACATTCTGATGTATCCGAAGCGTTGACGGAAACCGAGGAAGAAGGGCAAATGATCTCTTCGATAGTCGCATAAGTGCCAGTTAAAAAACCAATTACACCAAGGAGGGCTATGGAAATGTCCTTCAATATTAGCCAGGCACTTGGTTTCTCCTTGTAGAAAGTGAAGATTTCCACTAATGGTGGCAAGATCAAAGCGAGAGTGCTGCTGCTTACAGCTCCGACAAAGGAAATGACGATATCCAGACGTGGGATCGAAACTGCAAGAGCACCTGCAACAAGAGTAGGAAGGAAAGAAAGCTTATTATACTTATTTTTGTTCTTTTCAAAAAAAATATAGTACCTACTTGAAGGGAAGTAAACAAAATGGAATGAATCACACCTCTCAAAGTATGAGCTAACCTGAGAAATCACAGCTAATTCAGGGTACATAGATGAACAAATCACTACATTTGATAGTAGCATATAAATAAAATTGTAAGTTTCAAAAAGACAATTCCAGGACATCAACAGCATAGGAATTGAAGCGTATTAGTGTTGTTTTTGTTGTATCTGTCAGGATCCCTTCTTATCCCACCCCAATTGGGCATTGCATTGTGAGACTCCATCCACCCAACTCTTACACAGAAAATTGGACTTCTCTTGCTAGATGGTTTAATGCACTTTTTCTCAATGTGAAAATATGCTTGTGTGCATTTTTTTCAAATGTTTACATTTTCAGTTATGCACATTTTTAAATGTATGAATGATTTTGCATTCTTTTTTTTTCCTTCACCAAGATGCATTGCATGCCTTGGAAAGGTACTGATTTCTGAGGCAAGATGCTCTTATTCACAATGAGACCCACTGCGTGCTTGTGAAAAGGATCTTTCACAGGGGAAAATAAATCCAAGATATTTAATTTCCGTCACTGCATAGAAATGTGCAAGACATCTGAAAGAAATCACATTTCATCTGCATACATGTACAACTCTCTAGATACTCTCACAGGGCATAAATACCCTAAAGACACCAGATCCCATTCTTGGATGCTAAGCACTTTTAGCCCTGGTTAGTACTTGGTTAGCCAGGTTACGAACTGGAGCACCATACTGTGAGAGGACGACTCCCATGTTGTGGCAGCTCCACTAGCTGCCAATTTGCTTCGGGGCTGAATACAAAGTGCTGGTTATTACCTATAAAGCCCTAAACAGTTAGGGCCCAGACAATTCGAAGTATTGTACTTTTGGGTAATGGTATATAAGTATGGATGACTAGGAATACATTACACAGTTTTGCAGGTTTCCATATAGACTCCATTTGGCAGGAACCTTCTAGATTGTGGAATTAACTTCCTATTGTTATTAATTTGCATTTTTCCTAGCAATTTCCCACAACCTATGGGAGTCCACATGTTTAGTGAATCATGTTGTTAGAATTTGTTCCAATTCATTACAGCGAGCGCCTCTCCCACTGTCACTTCCAGGAAAACAAGAAGCCCTGGTGCCTAAGAAGAACTATATTAAGACCCTTATACTCAGAGAACCCATAACTGTTTGTTTCACTTGCATGCCTATAAATGCAATGGTCTGGCCCAAATCAATAAATTACAAGTGAATTTGACAACAGAAATAATGAAACTACCTCAATTATTGCTCTTTGTGGTATTGAACTGCTGCTTACCCAATTTATAACACTTAGTATCATCAAATAAATTTTCAGACTAAGTTTTAAACCTCTCAATCGGAGCGAATGAACATGAGGGGAAGGAAAACAGGGTTCAGTCTAACAAGCAAAATTACTTCGTGCTGTTCTACACCTCCAAGGGCAGTGAAAAAAAATTCTGATGCAATAAAAAAGCAGAAAACAGTGACAAAATACCAGCCATTATGTGTAAGAACGTCTTTAACCCTCCCTGTATATGAGGGATAGCTCTATTTCCAAGCAAGAAGAGCTTGAGATTCCTTGATCTATTTGCCACATAGGGAGGAGATCAATCTCATATTTGTTTGTCCCTGATTTGTGACAAGTGGGAGGACGATGGGGAGGCAGTTTGGAGTATGTCATTTTCATTCCCAGAAATGCTAGCCTCAGTCCAAATATATTCATCGGAAGTCAGGGAATGATTAGAGTCTGCAAAGAGAGTCATAAAGAGAAAGTGGTAAACATGCTATCTAGTATACTGCATTTTTAAATCACCCCTTCTCTTGCTTTGTGTTCAGCGAGAGATTAAAACATCAGCAATAGAGGGAAGATGAAGCAAAAGGAAAATAAATCTAGAATCCTGCCAGTAATATTGTATAACCACATAAAATTTGAATTCCAAAAAATATCAACTCCACTTCTTGGCACCCAGTTTAAGAAGTCGTTGTTGATGATGATGATGATGATGATGATGATGATGATGATGATTATTATTATTATTATTATATATTTCTAACCCACCCTCTCTTTCCAGAGAAACTCAGGACGGGTCCCAAGTACAAAGGTGGTCTTTCCACATATATATAAACCCTTTTTCCTAGTTCCAACAGACCTCACTACCTCTGAGGATGCTTGCCATAGATGCAGGTGAAAAAGTCAGGAGAGAATGCCTCTAGAACATGGCTATATAGCCCGAAACAACCTACAACAACCCAGTGATTCCAACCATGAAAACCTTCAACAATACAAAGGCAAATCTTCAATGCCTTATACAATCACAAAAACAAAGGCAGATATTCCATGCCAGATGCAATCATAAAAACACAGCACAATAAAATAGCAAATCATAGTTAAGAAGCTCATATAAAATAGACTCTATGGGGAAGATAAATGATCAGGCTTCATAAAGTACAATAGCAATAAGTACTGTTTAAGGAGAGAACCTAGAAATATAAAATATAAATGTAAAAGTGGCTCTACGAATGTGTAAACCCTTGACAGGACATTGGTCAGAAAGAAGGGGGGTTTCATTACTCATCAACCTCTCCATAAGCCATGGAGCACTGATGAGTGTCTAGGTGTTTTTTGAAGGAGGGGAGGGAGGAAGATGTTCTAATTTTGATGGGAAGGGTGTTCAAGAGAGATTGAGTGACCACAGAGAAGGTCCTCTCTCTCATGCCCACATATCACACTTGGGACGGGGGTGGGACTAAGTAAGAGGAGGGCTCCCTCCAATGATCTCAGTGGCCAGATGGGATTGTAAATGAGGATGCGGGTTCTCAAATAGTCTGGGCCTGAACCATTAAGGGCTTTGCAGGTGATAGCCAGTACTTTGTATTTAGCCCAGAAGCAGACCTGCAGCCAAAGGAGTTGCCGTAACAGGAGAGTTGTCCGCTCCCTGAATGGCGCCCCAGTTATTCGGGTTGCCAATCTCTGAACCAGTTGAAGCTTCAGGACTATCTTCAAAGGCAGCCCCACGTAGAGAGCGCTGCAGTCGTCCAATTGGGATGTAACTACAGCGAGGACTAAAACAGCTAAGTCTGGCGTCTCAAGATATGGATGCACCTGGCACACAAGTTTTAACTGTGCAAAAGCACTCCTTGCCACCGCCAACACCTGGGATTCCAGGGCCAGCGATGAATCCAAGAATACCCCCAGACTGTAAACCAGTGTGTTCAGGGGATGTGTGACCCCATCCAACACAGATTACAACCCTGCACCCTGATTTGCCTTCCAACTGACCAGGGTTACCTCTGTCTTGACTGGATTTAATTTCAGCTTGTTGGCCCTCATCCAGTCCACCAATGATGACAGGCACTGGTTCAGGACCAGAATAGCATCCTTGGCATTTGGTGGAAAGGAGTAATAGAGTTGGGTGTCATCTGCGTAAATTTGACACTGAACTCCAAAACTCCGGATGATCTCTCCCAGCAGTTTCATGTAAATGTTAAACAGCATGGGGGACAAAAATGAACCCTGAGGGACCACACAGGCCACTGGCCAGGAAGTCGAACAGGAGTCCCCCAGCTCCACCATCTGGGTCCGCCCCTGATAGGTCCAGGAGAACCAGGAGGGACACACTCCTGTCTAGCTCTCTTCACAGATCGTCCACCAAGGTGACCAGTGCCATTTCAATTCCAGAACCAGGCCTGAAACCAGATTGGGATGGATCCAGATAATCAGTTTCATCCAAGAAACTTTGGAGTTGTGAGGCCACCACCTTCCCTAGAACCTTGCCCAGGAAGGGGAGATTTGACCCTGGCCAGTACTTGTTCAGTTGAATGGGATCCAGTGCTGGTTTCTTCAATAGAGGTCTTACTATTGATAAACAGAACCCACCATTCCCTGCTCATGCCAAAAAGGTAAAAAACCCACACTCTAATATTTTGTACTCTTATACTACAGAGCAATATAGCAGGGAGATTGTACATCTCACTAGATGCACAGAATTTATGACGTGAATTCAACCTCTTTTAATTGAACATGCCAAACCAACTTGTTTTATAAATTGAGAATATTCATCACATCACATGTTATTTGGCTCCCTATGTTCTTCCTCCAAAGAACATAGGGAACTGTGTAGGAACCTTAGGAATTTTCTCACAAACATCATATGAGTTGGTGACTGATTCAAGTGACCTACTCACCTTCAAAGCCAAATAGGTATTTGAATCCAGGTTCTCCAAGTTTCAAGCACTGGTCTACAACCCAATAGATAATCCCAAATAATGTATATCCAATTAATGTAGGCCAAAAGAGTTTAAGTACCCTAAAGGCACCAGATCATGTCTGACACTGAGTAAGGTCAGCCCTGGTTAGCATCTGGATGGGAGATGACAATGTATACCAGGTACTCTAGTCTACATTTCAGAGGAAGGAACTAGCAGAAAACCCACTGAGTATTCCTTGCTTAATAAAACCTTATGAAAATCAAGGGATTCCTCTAAGCAGGCAGACAACTTGAAGGCACATACATACAAATGAACAAGGACTCAAGCATGTACATCCTAATCATTCAACCAAATTATTCTCATTTGCACTAGCAATTGGATTTAGGCCACTATATGGTACGTAAGAACTGGTTCTCATATTATGTGGCAGTAGGTTCTCCAACTAAAATAATTTCCCTCTGGCTGGTTTTGATGATTCAGATGAGGCTGTCATATTTTGGATGGCAAATAAAAGCAAATAGCCAAATAAGTATACTAGTATGTACTGGGTGGATATTCCAAACAACCACCACGGCTGCATGGATGCAAACTGTGAATTGGTACATACATAAGATTACATTGCTTTGTATAGACCTGACTAGGAATGTGGAAATGTATGATTGTTCTTTTCCGTAAATGCAAACCTTTTAAAGTCTCAG